TGGTTATATGTACATACACACGCATACATACATATATGTATGTATGTACGTATGTGTTCACAGATGTTGTGCGTTCAGGGTTGAAGGCATCTGGCGACGTCGTGGGGTAACATGCGTGTCAAAGGTGGCCTGAACCCTGAACGCCCCCATAAATCCGATCTCCCCAACCCAAAATGAAGCCCATTACCCTCAGTTCATATCTGAAAGAAAATACGATACGTTACTATCCCGACAGCTTTATAGAACTTCTTTTTCTTCTTCGCAGCTGAGTGGGACTAACCAGTGCTCAAAGCATCAGCTGAAGCGCCCTGCCAGTGACAAGATGCCATATCATCTCACCACATTTCGCCCTTACAGAATTCAAGGGCCACTCCTGAATCAAGGCGTAAACCTGAAGCCTTCCGTCACTAGTATACCCTGAATCCCCAACCCTGTGCCTCAAACCCCGAACCCTGAACCCTAAACCCTAAACCCAAAGCCCAGAAGGTGTATTGTACCCTGGCAGCTACTGGCATCTGACCGCTTCTTTGGTCTTCTGCAAAGTTCTCTACGTCGCATCTCAGCCGCTTCGTTGGAAGTCGGTTTTGGGTGTTCGGGTTTTGGGTGTTCGGTTTAGGGTTTAGGGTTTAGGGTTTAGGGTTTAGGGTTTAGGTGTTTAGGGTTTGCGGGTTTCGGTTTAGGGTTTTCGGGCTTAGCGTTGCGCAAGACGAAGCCTCAATAACCTTGTAGGGTTCACCCTAAGTTCTAAACCTAAATCCTAAACCCTAAACCCTACATCCTAAACCCTAGGGTTATTCCTTCTCAACCCTTGCAGGTCAGGACTTTAGAGTCTGGTTCAGGGCTTTGGAGGCTCATGACCCAGAGGAGGGTTTAGGGTTCAGGGTTTAGGGTGCAGGGTCTAGAGTTTAGGCTCCCTTGTAAGCCCCTTTAAATCCAAAGAGGCTACCTTTTTGTTCTAGAGTACTCTTGGGTGTAGGGTTATTTCTGCGTAGGGCTGCATCTCAGCTCATAAGCAAGAAGCCATCAAGCAAACGCTCACGGTCAGGATGAAGTGCTTTGGGCCGCGGCCGAACCCCAAACCCTAACCTCTAAACTTTAGACCCTTCACCCCAAAAACAAAGCCCCAAGCCATGAACTTGGACGTAAGGTTCTTCTGTCTAGAACATTGTTTGGGGCTCAAAGGAGTGGAGCCCTGATCCCGAAGCCGGGGGTTCGGGGCTTCTAGGGTTGAAGGCTTAGGATGAGCTGCAGCTCGGTGTGGCTAGCGTTTCGAGACTTAGGGCACGCCCTGGGTTTCTTAGGTGTTGGGATCCCATGTAAGCCCGCAGCATCACCCTAGGCCCCAAACCCTAAACCCCAAACCCCTAAACGTCCAAACCCCCAAGGAATCCGAGGCTACCAGACCACCTCGGGCTTAGAGCCCCAAAGGCTTAACCCGGCCCAGGACTGCGACAGCAAGGTCGGAAGATTCTTTGAAGATCCGGCCCTGCTGGACTGGGTGAAGGACAGGGTGCGAGATCTCAAGGTTCTTTCGTTCCTGAATCGCAAGCCCTAAACCTCGGACCCTAACCCTAAACCCTAAACCCCAAGGAAAGCGAGCCTTGCAAGGAGCACAAGGACTACGCTTCGATCCCAGAGATCGACTACCGCCAGCCCCTCGTCCCTTTCCTCCTCCCAAGATGGAACCCTCCAGGGTTTAGGGTTTAGGGTTTAGGGTTTGTCATAGTGGGGTAACATTTTTCATTTTTAAGGGTACTCAAGCTCAGCAAGGAATAGAGTTTTAGATTCTTAGTATTCTCCCAACCATGAACTAGAAATATCAGGTCTTCCTCATGTACTGAAGCATCTAACTGTATTTGCAAAACGGGGGACCGTGGGAGTGCACTTTCTCTGCATTTTGTCGCTGTTAAAGAATTTAAAACCCCAGCAACACTCTATATTTGGGAGTATTCAAGATTGGGAGGGTTTAGGGATTGGGGTTTAGGGTTTAGGGTTTGGGTTTAGGGTACTGTATCTGGGTCAAACTGCGTTTTAGGGTTTAGGGTTTAGGGTATACTGTATCTGGGTCAAACTGCGTTTGTGTGCACAGTCGCCGAAAGCCCCTTCCTTGTGCCAAAGCCGTGGAGCTTCAAGTCGTTTACCCTAGTTGTGCTAAAATCACCCCTCAAACCCTATTTTAATTCTTCAGGCCCCTGTATAACTTGTGGGTCTTGGCCCTGCTGCCTGGGGCTAACAGCCGATTCCCTTCATAGGGCTCTAGGGTTTAGGGCCTTGAGGTTCAAACCCTAACTGCCATCAACACCTGGAAGAAGCTAAAAAGGCGCGCAAGTTCCCAAAAAAAACCCAAGAAAGGGTCCTCAAACACCCTAAAGCCTAAACCCTAAACCCTGAACCCTAAACCTCAAACCCTCGAAGCCCCAAGCCCCAGAGAAGACCCGGCATCGGCCCTCAGGCAAACCTTCGAGAGCCTGTCTCTTGCGGAGAAAGGCCCCAAGAGCCTAGGGTTGTTTTAGCGATATTGGGTTTAGAGTTCATGTATGTTTTTCTGTTTTGTTTTTGTCGGGATTTTGGGTTCAGAGCTAAAGGCTTGTTGGCTTCGTTGCTTGAGTGATGCGAGTTTGGTGTTCAGCGTTTGTGCCTTTATGCCTGGCGTCCCGAGCTTCTACGCAGTCACGCAAGCAGGGCTAGCATGTGCCCATGCACATACATGCGCATACATATACATGCCCAACAAAATTTTACAAGTTGCAACCATGGACTAGTGCACGCCTCAAGGGTATGTATGTATAGAGTACACAGGTATGCTTTAATGATACAGTTATTATTTCTGTACTGATAGACATACGTAGACAGAGAGCAACTTCTTCCGCCCAAGACGCGCCAGGTCTTAAGGGTTTGGGAAAGGCAGCCCGGAAGCTTGAATGCGGCAGTGTTCAGACATGCGTCTAAGTTTGGTTTGGTGGAGGTCCGCCAATAGTTTCTTGCATTAGAGGGGTTTGCAGTCGTATGAAGGGACTACATATGCATGCGCACATGCGTGCACGTGTACATTGCTTAGACATCTTAGGAAGCAGAAGTACTCTTGACAAGCTATCACATCATCACTAACGTGCAGAATGCATAGGCATTGGGATCTCCGAGCCCTGATAAGATCCCACAACCCGCTGTATGCAGAATCAATATGACATGTGTTTATACATAGAAGCATATGTATATATAGAGAGATGTGTACACGCGTACAAAAAGCAAATGCATGACAAACACACACAGACATATATGTTTATTTATGTACATATATATATATGTGTGTATGCATACATACATATGTATGTAAATATATATGTCTGAACATATATATATAGAGAGAGAGAGATGCACACATGTCCTTTCAATTTTTGATAGCCGTTGAAGGCTTCGATTTGCTCATCTCCATGAGCGCCGGCATCATTTCGAAGCCTTGTGGCCGCTTTGTGAAGCGAGGAGGCCTTGTGGGTTTCTCCGGAATTCACGGCAATACAGTCCGTGGACCCTAAACCCTGACCTTAAACCCCAAACCTTAGACCCTAACCCTATTAAAAAGGCACCCTTTCGGCTGTTAGGTTCATGAGGGGACCGAGCTGTTTATTGCTTCCAAGCCCGTTTCAGTCCCGATAGACCCAATGACCCTCTTTGAAAACCCTGATTTTAAAATCAAGAAGCACTTCATCAAAAAGGGCACAGTAATACAGGACACGAGTTTGAAACAACAGCTTAGTAGGAAGCCCTAAACCCTAACCCTAAACCCTAAACCCTAAACCCTAAACCCTAAACCCTAAACCCTAAACCCTCCCAAAGGGGACCGCGTAGGCTACTTTCTCGTGTCTGATGCCCACTTCGATGCGCGAACGACGGCGCTGGACCCGCGCTTCGAGCTGGTGGCAGCAGCCTGGTTTAGGGTTTAGGGTTTAGGGTTTAGGCTTTAGGGTTTAGGATTTAGGGTTTAGGGTTTAGGGTTTAGGGTGGGTCCACTGGTCTAAAGAAGGGAGGGGGGCTATAGGGCCAGGGTTTAGGGTGTAGGGCTTAGGACCCAAAATCCTGAACCCTGAACCCTACACCCTGATTAAAGGTGCCGACACCCCAAACAGCTTTCCGAGAGGATCAGCTGTCGACAGCTGAAACCTAATTTAAAACCCAAAGGGTTTGGGGCTTAGGGCTTTGCGGGGTCCTTGCGGCATAGGGTGTCCCATGATCAGACTTAAGAAAAGTTACCCCTGTAAGGATCCCTAATGCAGTAAAGACCCACACCCACTACTTGAAGGCCGGCCGGTAATTTCAATGACCCCCCCCAAACAAGAACACCAACCAGGCTGCAACACAGTTTTCGCCTATACCCCCAGCGATTTATAACAAGCATCCAAGAGCCCAAACCCTAAACCTTACGGCGATTACTTAGAACCTCCGAAATCACCGAAAGCTGCTGAAGCTAAGGTCTACAACCCTGAGACCAAGAGGCACTGGCGCCTCCCATTGCGCTTTAGGGACATTTTAGGGTTTAGGATTTGGGTTGAACAACCTCTACAACCTTTGCGTGGGTAGTGAGTCCGAAGGGCACGGTACTATGTAGACGTTTATCCCCCTAGTCAGGTTTAGTTACTTTCGCCCGTTTGGTTGCTGTTGGTACATTTCAAAACCCATGCCCTCGAGCCTAGAACCCTAACATCCCACACCCCAAAACGGGCGCAGCAGGCTCGAGAAGAAGGGCCTGGAGTCCTGTTTCATGACCACCGCAGGCGAGAAGATCTCAGCCGCGCAGGTTGGGGCTTGTGGTTGTGGAGCTGTAGGGTCTTCGGGGTGTCTGTGGGTTTAGGGTTCTTAGAGTTACATAAGCTGGCTTAGGTTTTTTTTTCCCCTAAACCCTAGTTTTCAAACCTTAAACCCTGAACTTTGGGCTTAGGGTTCAGAGATGTTTACAGGCTTTTGGCTTGGGCGTCTAGGGCATCCGCATCACCGAAGCCCCCCCGAAGACATTGCCGAAAGCAAATATTTACAAGGGCCGAGGGTTTTGGGTTTAGGGTTTAGATGGGGTTACCCCGAAGTCTCTATTTGACCCTTTCACACAACCTTAAGGAATTCGCAGCCCATGCGTTAGGGTTTAGAATTTCGGGTTGAGTGCTACCTTAAGGTTTAGGGTTTAGGGTTTGCGGTTTATGGTTTAGGGTTTAGGGTTTACGGTTTAGGGTTTAGGGTTCAGGGTTCAGGGTTCAGGGTTCAGGGTTTAGGATTTAGGGTTTAGAGTTTAGGTGACAAAAGCCCAAATCGAGTTGGGGTGAAAAGTAGGTGAGAGGAGGGGGCGGTACTTTATTTACCCGAGTTGTAGCTGCCCGTGGACCACCCCGGCAAAACGACCCAAGTCATTTTTTCAAAACTTTTTCTAAACCCAAAGGTTACCCTATCCCCTAGACCCTAAACTCTAAACCCCAAACCCAAGCCAAACCCTAACCCCCTCAACCCCTAAAGCCCCAAACCCTGCACCCTAAACCCTTTGGGTTTGGGGTTCCAACCCCTGTCTACAGCTGCTCCCTAAACCCCTCAAACCCACAACCCCTAAACCCTCAAACCCTAGACCCTCAAACCCTAAACCCTCAAACCTTCAAACCCTCAAACCCTCAATCCCTTAACCCTGAAACCCTAAACCCTCAAACCCTCAACCCTCAAACCCCTAAGCCACGGAGTATGCCCAGTAGTGCCCTTTTTCCCTTTTTGGGCTCTCTAGGTTCCCCTATAAACCCCTTGAAGCAAAAAAGGGCACCCTTTTTAATCCTAGGTTACTGGGCAACCTAGAGCATGCCCAGGTGAAGGCCAGCATCTCGAAGCCCAAGGGACTCCTGCCAGGGTTTAGGGTTTAGGGTTTAGGGTTTAGGGTTTAGAGGGTTTAGGGGGTCTAGGGGGTTTAGGGGTTTATAGGGGTTTATAGGGGTTTATAGGGGTTTATAGGGGTTTATAGGGGTTTATAGGGTTTTGTAGGGCTTTATAGGGCTTTATAGGGGTTTTTAGGGTTTTTTAGGGGTTTTTAGGGGTTTATAGGGGTGTTTAGGGGTTTAGCGGTTTAGGGTTTAGGAGTTTAGGGTGTCGGGTTAAGGGTTTAAGGGTTTGAAGGTTTGAGGGTTTAGGGTTTGAGGGTTTGAGGGTTTAGGGTTTGAGGGTTTAGGCTTTGAGGTTTAGGGGAGGGGGGGGGGTGGTTTCGTAGTTTGGAGGTTTTTGTGGATCAGGGGTTTTGGGGGTCGTTGAGGGTGTTGGGTTTTAGGGGGTTAAGGGTAGAGTTTCTGGGTTGTAGGTGTTTCGGGTGTGGTTTCAGTGGTTTAGGGCTGTAGAGGTTCCTTCTAGGGCTTAGGGTGCAGGCTTCTAGCTAGGGCTTAGGGGCTTCGGGTTTCTGAACATTCCCCCAAGCAAACCAGGGCTGTCCCGTTGGTGGGAACTAACGAGGAACCCCTAAACCCTAAACCCTAAACCCTAAACCCTAAACCCTAAACCCTAAACCTGTTTCAGGAAGGGTTTCGCTTGTTCTCTTGGCGCTGCATGGGGAGGCATCTTCAGCCTTTGGGGCCCCTAGACGGAACTCGGCAGTCTCTTAACCCCTATAACTTTGGGATGTTCCCCCTTTTCCTAACGGTCCTTAATGGAGATTAGAGTAGGGGGCACTAGATTCCCTATATAAAGGACTGTTCAACCTATGGGGGACCCTTGACTCCCCCAAAAGGCCACGTCTCCTGTCGATGCTCCGAGGAAGCCGCGGCTTCAAGCTGAAGCGCGAGGATTGGTTCCACCTCTTCAAGCGAGTTCGTTGAGTTCTGCGCTCGTGATGGGAGGGTTTCGGGCTTCGCGGAAGCTGCAGACACGCTGAGTCGCATTTGCGGCTGCGATGTTTGAGATGTCGGTTGAGGGCTTGATGGCTTGGCGAGGTTCTGTTGAAGTCTCAACGCAGCTTCTTGTGGGGTTGTGTTTTAGGGCATTTTGTTATAGGGCTGCAGCCCTGCTTCTGTCAGACTCCGTAGACCCGGGGTCGGTAGAGAAGGTCACAAGACTCATTCTGCACCGGCGCCTGTGCGCCGCGGCGAAAAAGAGTTCAGGGTTTGGGAGCCAAATGGAGCCAAAGTATCTACAATGATAGCGTCATGTAATCGCCGGCATAAGAAAATGAAAGGAATAGGAACAACATGCATTCGTCCGGCCGGGGTCGCACCCATGGCAAGATTCTTCGGTTGGTGGATTTCCTACTCCGTGCTCATCAGTAGCGGGAGAAGTTCTAAGACTCATATCTATGCTTACTGTAGCACATCTGACGCTATAAACGCCATGAGTATTTCGTTTCGTTGTTCACGCGCACAGTGCTAAGCAGTGATCGCCGAATCCGGCGCAGACTTTGGTTCGAGCTCTCGTACCATCCCTTGTTTCGCTTTTCTGCTTTTCTGGCAGAAGCTTGGCTACTTGAGAGGGGAGCTTATGACTCAAATCACTCCGATGAGTCTACGTGGTGAGTGGAAGGAGTTGGAGACCAGCAACATCTACACTGTCACGGCTCCTGATGATCCGCTGTTGAGTTTTTTGACCGTGGTGAACAATCCGGCGAAAGGTGATCGGCGTGAGTATGAAGTCAAGAGTGGGCCGGAGGGGCAGATTCAACTTCAGCCCCTGTTCCACAAAGACACCACAGGAACAGACACTCTCTCTGATCTCTTTCTTGACTACAGCGTGCCCGGTCGAATCATTTGGTACAGCTACACAACTGGCAAGCACAAGACCTGGCAATACATGCTGCAGGCACGTCGGTGCCGGCTGAAACCGCCCTAAACTGCACTGCGGTAGTCGTGCTGAGTAGCCTCGCTGCTTGCTGATGGCGCAGTGATGGATCGTGTTGTGTGTGTCGGTTGTTCTAACGTTTGTCGTCCTGGCTTTTTTTGGGGCGGGGGGGGGGCAGGGGGCGGGGGGTTCCTGCCCAGGTGTGGAATACCACCGTGGTGCAGCTGACGCCCGAAGCTGAAGACGCTGCTTTTCGGCTGGTCATGCGGAAGCTCACAGGCAAGGGGCCTTGCCCTTGTGAACACCACCCCTCGAAACGTCTTCACATCATCCACCCACACATGCCGCAGCCATACCTTGCAGACTCGCACCCTGTAGGCTCTAAGTTTTAAAGCCGTTTCTTGCTGCTTGCTCCGAACGCCTGACAGGTGATTTGATTGCCAAGGTAACCGTGGAGCCTGGCACCAACTGGAGGGATGCAAGGAAGTTGATGGTGCCGGGCCTCCGCCCGCTCCTCTCGAAAAAGCTGGCTTTTGTGTCACCCCTTGGGGAAGTCTTGACGCAGGCACATGATCAAAGGCCGCTATCTGACATTCTCGGATGTGAGGTTGCTGAGCCCAGCGAGCCGCGGGTAGTTGAGGAATGGAGGCGTTTTCAGTAGCGCAGACCGAGTGTTTTTCTTTCGAGCTCTGTTTTGTGAGTTTTGCTCCGTTTTAAGGTTTGAAGCAGGCGTCGAGGGGCTTTGCATGTCAGACTGGTTCAGGTCTGCGCTGCTACAGTTTGTTTGCTGCTTGTCGTCACTTTCCTGATCTTGCAAAGGCCTTCTGCGGATGGTGTGCAAAATGTGATAAGAGTGTTGTAGGATGGTTTTTTGAACTGCCATGCAGCAGAGCTCACGCAAGATTCGGGGCCAACCGCGTGGCGGCTTTGACATTGGTGTCATAAGGTCCTTTGCGACGTGTTTCACCAGGGGCTCCATGTGCGTAGGACACACTCCATCGCAAGCACCTCAGCAAAGTCAGGACACATGGACAGGCACCGAACGTAGCAGCAGCCATTTCGCGGTCGTGCGCACTGCAATGTCATGACGGTGTACGAGACCGTGAGCTCCTGGCCAGCTGTCTTTCAGGCATGAGCAGACGGCTCCTATGAATCTGTACTCGTGCAATCAGACGTAGTCCGTAGTTCCATTGGCACTCCGACTCCGACACGCGGAGCATGCTCCTCGTTTTTTGCTGGCCCGCCGTTTTCGCGTGACAGGACTGCTGGTCAGAATTGATCACCTCCCGTCGCGCCACGCGGCAGGGACGGGCCACCGCCTTTGCAGACGCAAGGGCTACGTCTGGGACACCCTACGAACAAACATAGACAGTTACAGAATCCCTTCGAAATCAAAAGCAACAAAAACCTCGCCTTTAAGGGGGGATGCCCGGAGTGCGCAATGGAAGTGCCGGAGTGCCGTGGTCGGCTTCACACCTGCGCAGGCACCATGTATTTGAAAGGCCAGACCGCGAGACCTGCGGAGGACCTCCAGTGTTCCTTTGTCTTGTTGACTCAGAGCTGACTAAATCTTTCACAACACACAAGCATGTATGCTTATCGTGAACGACCATAATCATGACTCGTACCACCTCAAACTTCGGGACAGGCAGTGGCGTTTCGCGTAGCTGCTGTTGTCTCTCGGCTGTCCGTGCAGCCGGCCGCCACAGATTTCTCTTGATGAGCAAGCAGCAGTTCTTCGGAGAGACACAATGTTTTGCAGCTGGTGGACGCTGGCGTGGCCGCTTGCGGCAACGTAGCCGTAGTTTCCACACCGTGATTCATGATGCGACTGCCGCGCGTGTGTCCACTGGCAGCTACATTTGGCTAAGGGTACCCTTGTTTTTTTCAACGGACTGAGATGCAGTGAATCTATGATGAGACATGTGTGAGGAGACAAAGCTTGCGTCACCCCTTTGCAACCTGCAGAGAGAGAGAGAGAACGACGGAGACAGAGAAAGAGATAGAGAGAAAGACAGCTAGCGTCAGAGAGCCGCATGCCCCTAAAGTTCCTAAAGGAAGGGATACACCTTCCGTCATCATCGGATCCTCGATATAGTTCACATCCCCAAGCCCTTGCCTCGCCCCAAAAAGCTGAAGCTTCTGCTTATGGCTTGTTCGATGCTGCGCCAAGGCATTAGCGTTTTCAAGCTGGCGAGGGTTGATATCTATCTATCTATCTATCTATCTATGTAATATATTCAGATTTGTTTTTACTGTTTCATGTGTTGGCGTGACTGAGGTCTATGTTTTCCTTTGTTGTTGAGGGTTTTGCAAGGGGCGGTAGGGTTGCTTAGGCTTGTTTAGGTTTTGGGGCTGAGGATTTTGGCTTCGGTGTCATGAGGGTTGTGGGTTTCGGAGATACACACTTGTCGAGCTTGGGTCGGTGTGCGGTTCAGGGTACTTAGGCTTCTCATATCCTCCGACACGTCCTATGGACAAGCCGGCTTGCTTGTCTTGCCATAATAAGGCACTACATGGCAGAAACCCTGAGCTTCGAGAGCCTCTGAGCCCTAAAGCAGCCTCGACGACTCCCTGTACTGCTGAGACGACCAGGGGGCCGTCGCGCCAATGTAGGGTTTACAGGGGTGCAGGGTTTACAGGGGCTCTATGTTTACAGGGGTTCAGGGCTTAGGAGTTGAGGGCTTCAGGTTTTAAGGTAGCTTTGGGGAGTCTACGCCTCAAAGCGAGGATCGTTGCACAGGTTTAATTGTTAGGGGTATCAGCGGCACATCCGGCGCAGACTTTGGTTCGAGCTCTCGTACCATCCCTTGTTTCGCTTTTCTGTTTTTCTGGCAGAAGCTTGGCTACTTGAGAGGGGAGCTTATGACTCAAATGACTCCGATGAGTCTGCGTGGTGAATGGAAGGAGTTGGAGACCAGCAACATCTACACTGTCACGGCTCCTGATGATCCGCTGTTGAATTTCTTGACCGTGGTGAACAATCCGGCGAAAGGTGATCGGCGTGAGTATGAAGTCAAGAGTGGGCCGGAGGGGCAGATTCAACTTCAGCCCCTGTTCCACAAAGACACCACAGGAACAGACACTCTCTCTGATCTCTTTCTTGACTACAGCGTGCCCGGTCGAATCATTTGGTACAGCTACACAACTGGCAAGCACAAGACTTGGCAATACATGCTGCAGGCACGTCGGTGCCGGTTTAAACCGCTCTAAACTGTACTGCGGTAGTCGTGCTGAGTAGCCGCGCTGTTTGCTGATAGCGCAGTGATGGATCGTGTTGTTTGTGTCGGTTGTTCTTATGTTTGCCGTCCTGGCTTTTTTTTGGGGGGGGCAGGAGGGGGGGGCGGGGGGGGGGGGGGGGTTCCTGCCCAGGTGTGGAATACCACCGTGGTGCAGCTGACGCCCGAAGCCGAAGACGCTGCTTTTCGGCTGGTCATGCGGAAGCTCACAGGCCAGGGGCACCGTCCCCGTACTGCCCAGTAGTGCACCGAGCACTGGCCTCCCCTGTGATACCATGACTGTTCTGCCAAACCCTGCCTGCCCAACCCCAACTCCTGACATGAAAGCTGAAGCCGATAGGCCCCTTGTGAACACCACGAATCATCTTCACATCATCCACCCACACATGCCGCAGCCATACCTTGCAGACTCGCACCCTGTAGGCTCTAAGTTTTAAAGCCGTTTCTTGCTGCTTGCTCCGAACGCCTGACAGGTGATTTGATTGCCAAGGTAACCGTGGAGCCTGGCACCAACTGGAGGGATGCAAGGAAGTTGATGGTGCCGGGCCTCCGCCCGCTCCTCTCGAAAAAGCTGGCTTTTGTGTCACCCCTTGGGGAAGTCTTGACGCAGGCACATGATCAAAGGCCGCTATCTGACATTCTCGGATGTGAGGTTGCTGAGCCCAGCGAGCCGCGGGTAGTTGAGGAATGGAGGCGTTTTCAGTAGCGCAGACCGAGTGTTTTTCTTTCGAGCTCTGTTTTGTGAGTTTTGCTCCGTTTTAAGGTTTGAAGCAGGCGTCGAGGGGCTTTGCATGTCAGACTGGTTCAGGTCTGCGCTGCTACAGTTTGTTTGCTGCTTGTCGTCACTTTCCTGATCTTGCAAAGGCCTTCTGCGGATGGTGTGCAAAATGTGATAAGAGTGTTGTAGGACGGTTTTTTGAAGTGACATGCAGCAGAGCTCACGCAAGATTCGGGGCCAACCGCGTGGCGGCGTTGGCATTGGCATAAGGTCCTTTGCGCCGTGTTTCACCAGGGGCTCCATGTGCGTAGGCCACACCCCGTCGCAAGCACCTCAGCAAAGCCAGCACACATGGACATGCACCGAACGTAGCAGCAGCCAGTGCGCGGTCGTGCGCACTGCAATGTCATGTTCATGGAGAATAGTGTGTACGACTCGCTTGTTGCTTTGCGATATCTCGTTGACCGTGAGCTCCTGACCAGCTGTCTTTCACAGACGGCTCCTATGAATCTGTACTCGTTCAATCAGACGTAGTCCCTGGTTCCATTGGCACTGCGACACGCGGAGAATGCTCCGTGTTTTTTGCTGGCCTGCCGGCCCGCCGTTTTCGTGTGACAGGAGTGTTGGTCAGAATTGATCACCTCCCGTCGCGCCACGCGGCAGGGCCAGGCCACAGCCTTTGCAGACGCAAGGGCTGCGTCTGGGACACCACCAATGAACAAACATACTATAACTACGCACAACCCATGACAGTTATAGGATCCCTTCGAAATCAAAAGCAACAAAAACCTCGCCTTTAAGGGGGGATGCCCGGAGTGCGCAATGGAAGTGCCGGAGTGCCGTGGTCGGCTTCACACCTGCGCAGGCACCATGTATTTGAAAGGCCAGACCGCGAGACCTGCGGAGGACCTCCAGTGTTCATTCTTTGTCGTGCTGACTCAGTGCTGGCTAAATCTTTCACAACATACAAGCATGTATTCTTATCATGAACGACCACAACCATGACTCGTACCACCACAAGCTTCGGGACAGGCAGCGGCGTTTCGCGTAGCTGCTGTTGTCTCTCGGTCCGTGCAGCCGGCCGCCACAGATTTCTCTTGATGAGCAAGCAGCAGTTCTTCGGAGAGACACAAGTTTTGCAGCTGGTGGACGCTGGCGTGGCCGCTTGCGGCAACGTACCCGTAGTTTCCACACCGTGATTCAAGATGCGACTGCCGCGCGTGTGTCCACTGGCAGCTACATTTGGCTAAGGGTACCCTTGTTTTCTTTCAACGGACTGAGATGCAGTGAATCTATGATGAGACATGTGTGAGGAGACAAAGCTTGCGTCACCCCTTTGCAACCTGCAGAGAGAGAGAGAGAAAGAGATAGAGAGAGAGATAGAGAGAGAGAAAGAGAGAGACAGAGAAAGAGATAGAGAGAAAGACACAGAAAGTCAGAGAGCCGCATGCCCCTAAAGTTCCTAAAAGAAGGGATACACCTTCCGTCATCATCGGATCCTCGATATAGTTTACATCCCCAAGCCCTTACCTCGCCCCAAAAAGCTGAAGCTTCTGCTTATGGCTTGTTCGATGCTGCGCCAAGGCATTCGCGTTTTCAAGCTGACGCGCGTTGATTTGTGTTTGCTATGTTTCGTATGTGCGCGTGACTGAGGTCTGCGTTTTCCGTTGTTGTTGAGGGTTTTGCAAGGGGTGGTAGGGTTGC